GTAGCCCACCATGGTGTTTATCATCCAAAGAAGCCGGGTAAAATAAGAGTGGTTTTTGATTGCAGTGCCAGCTTTGGTGGAACGTCATTAAACAAGCACTTATTGCAAGGACCGGACCTCACCAACAACCTACTGGGAGTACTGAGTAGATTCCGAAAGGAGCCAGTAGCATTGGCATGCGACGTGGAAGGAATGTTCCACCAGTTCTTCGTAAACGAGGCAGATCGAGATCTACTCCGCTTCTTCTGGTGGGAGGATGGGAATGTTGACAACTATCCCACAGAGTACCGAATGAAGGTCCACTTGTTTGGCRCTGCATCTTCACCTGGATGTGCAAACTTTGGCTTCAAGAAGGCAGCAGATGACGCAGAGGAAGAGTTTGGCCAAGCAGCAGCAGACTTTATTAGAAGAGATTTCTACGTAGACGATGGTCTTAAGTCAGTTGAAAGTCCAGATGAAGCCATTGCACTCATCAAGAACTGCCAAGGCATATGTGCAAAGGCAGGTCTGAGACTGCACAAGTTCAGCAGCAACAATCCAGAGGTCATCAAGGYAATTCCCGTAGAAGRTCGAGCACAAAGTCTTCAACAAATTGACTTCGCATCTGATCCACTGCCCATCGAAAGAACTCTAGGCATCATGTGGTGCATAGAAACAGACACTTTCCAATTTAGAGTAGTCGTCCAAGACCGTCCACTCACAAGACGTGGAATCCTGTCGACAGTGTGTTCAGTGTTTRATCCCCTGGGATTCGTGGCACCCATAGTTCTGGTCGGAAAGCAGATCTTACAAGAACTCTGTCGCCAAAATGTTGAATGGGACGAACCCATCGACGATCGTCTCAGACCTAAGTGGGAGCAGTGGAGAAGAAATCTACGTGATCTAGAACAGCTTCGCATACCAAGGTGTTACAAGCCAAAAGACCTTGGAAAGGCGAAGAGAGTAGAGCTGCACCAGTTCTCTGATGCAAGTGAGGTAGGCTATGGACAGTGCAGCTACCTACGGTTACTCGACGAGAACGGCCAAGCCCATTGTACACTTGTGATGGCGAAGGCAAGAGTGACGCCCCTAAAGTCCATCACCATCCCACGCCTTGAGCTAACAGCAGCAACCATATCTGTCAAGATTAATCAATGGCTATTGCAGGAACTAGAGTACCCAGAGGTTACTCAGGTGTTCTGGACGGATAGTCAGGTGGTTTTAGGCTACATTAATAACGAGTCCAAGCGATTTCATACTTTCGTGGCCAACAGAGTCCAGCAGATCCATGAGCACACTCAACCTAACCAATGGCAGTACGTGGACACCAGTAGCAATCCAGCTGACTTAGCCTCCAGAGGAGCATCAACCCTCATAGATAACAAAGAGTGGTTCAATGGCCCAGCCTTTCTACGGAATCCTGGCCCATACCAAGTGCGTCAAGCTGATAAAGTCATCGAGCTGAGTTTTGATGACCCAGAAGTTAGGAAGACAACGACGATGTCAACCCAAATCACTGCAGGGGCGAGCCCTCCAAGCTACATAGAAAGCAGCGYGTTTGACCGGTTTTCCAACTGGTACACTGCAAAGAAGGTTGTGGCCTACTGTCTTCGCTTCAAGAGCCTTTTGTTGAACAAGTTAGCCAAGAATCCAACAAAGAAGACGATCCATGGTCCCTTGTCCCTGGAAGAGTTGCAACAAGCTGAGATAGTCATCCTGCAAAGTGTTCAGCGGGAGCACTTCAGCGCTGAAATAAAGATTCTGAGATCTCAAGACGTGAAGGGC